ACCTGGACATATGTACTACCCTAGCCTAACCAAACACCCTCAAGTGGTCCACCGTGATGACGTCATCAGTCACGTGACCCGTGGGAAAATACCTTGTAGATGCACAGGATTTGAACCGATGCCAACCAAACCTGGACATATGTACTACCCTAGNGTCACGTGACCCGTGGGAAAATACCTTGTAGATGCACAGGATTTGAACCGATGCCAACCAAACCTGGACATATGTACTACCCTAGCTTAACCAAACACCCTGAAGGGTTCGACGGTGATGACGTCACCAGTCACGTGACCCGTGGGAAAATACCTCGTAGATGCACAGGATTTGAACCGATGTCAACCAAACCTGGACATATATACTACCATAGCCTAACCAAACACCCTGAAGGGTTCGACGGTGATGACGTCACCAGTCACGTGACCCGTGGGAAATACCTTGTAGATGCACAGGATTTGAACCGATGTCAACCAAACCTGGACATATATACTACCCTAGCCTAACCAAACACCCTCAAGTGGTCGAAGATGACGACGTCATCGGTCACGTGACCCGTGGGAAAATGCCATACATGAACTTGTACCATAAATTAAACCGGTACTGTAGGCATGGGCTATGGTACCGTAGCATGAACCATGGTGCCGTAGCCAACCTGTACCGTAGCATGAACCATGGTACCGTAGCCAACCTGTACCGTAGCATGAACCATGGTACCGTAGCCAACCTGTACCGTAGCATGAACCAAGGTACCATGTCATGAACCTAGTACCGTGGCATGAACCATGGTACCGTGGCATGAATATGGGTACCGTAGCATGAACCATGGTACCGTAGCATGAACCTTGGTACCGTAGCATGAACCAGTGTGCCGTAGCATGAACCTTGGTACCGTAGCATGAACCAGTGTGCCGTGGCATGAACCTGGGTACCGTAGCATGAACTTAACGAAGTCGAACTTTGCATGATCCAAACCTAATGATATCAACAATTTCTGCATTTTTTCATTTTATTCATTTTTTCAAACAGGTTCGGCTGATGTGAATTTCAACGTTTCACCTGAGCCTTTTTACCGGTATCGAAATGTGCTTCACGACCTCTTATTTGACAATAAAAATATGTAAGCCGACCTCGATTAAAGTGTGATTTGTATTTTTATCCGGCTTGCACTGCAAAACATTCATTTGCCTTGTGTCCATCAAAACATTTTGCAAAAAAATAATCAGGAAGCCGAAACGATATGTAAGGTTGCTTGTTGAGATGGCTTATAGATAGCTTATATTTTGAAATAGTATTTGTGATTGAAATAAAAAATAYTTTTGAAATGGTATTTGTAAACCGATGGCTCAAAGCAAAGTCAGTAGTACAATGATTTCTGGTTTATAACTGTCAACACATACGATGGTATGGTAAGCGTTAATTATAAAAGTCGGCGTGTGTGTGGGTGTTGATAACTGAGGTCACTAACAAGGTGACGAAATGTAATGCTTGGAAGAAGTAAGGGGTTTAAAAAACGAACCGAGGACACGGAGTTGAGGCGCATTTTCGTTTATAGATAAAGGCAAAGGAYATTATGAGGGTAGACGGTTTGGGAATAAAATAGTGGGTTAAAAAAATTTAGCTCGGAGGTTAAAGAGAAATATGTAAGAGGTCATTAGCTGTAGCCCCTCGTGATTGAAGATAAGGAGTTGTCGGTGACTGACTATCTATACAAAATCTTTGATTATTTAGGCTTGATACAAAAACATGCAAGGTTAAAATCGAGGGAAATAGTCGAATAACACCCAAAGTTAAAATCCTATCTCGCAGCAACAGTAGATATTGATAGTCTATGTATTTCGGTTCAGTGTAAAGCGAGAGAAGTCATGCTCTTGCATTTTATATTTATAACGTTAGAGCTGTGGATGTTTGTGCTGCATCAAGCACCGTCAAGTCTGCCTGATAATGTGAAAATGATCTTCGAATGTTTATTGTAAAAACACAACAACTGACCCGCAGAAGGTTTTCCTCGTTTCAGTTTAAACTTTAAACTGGAGCAATAATATACTTACTAATCGCACTAGAGCGCATGCATTGAGTCCATTGAATAAAAACAAAGATGATACTGGCAAATAGTAGTACATGACTTAGGTGACTAATAGTTACTATATGACTGAACCAAAATATTCATTACGCAAACGGCACAAATGATCTCTTGTTTGTCTTTGTCTTATGTTTTTCATGGTTTCAATGCATGCGCTTTTTTGGAAGGCTATGCGGCCGGAAAAATAGTTAACGGGATTTYAAAGTCATCGCAATTAGCTTCAGTCCGAAGCATAGCTATTTCAATATATTCACAAGAAAGATGACGTGCTTGTTTATAGCCATCATTATCAATCTTTCCTCAATCTAGCTATATATCTAATATCGCTGCTGGCCGAAGTAACTAACGTATATAATTACCCCAGCCTATTGTTTTCTGTCATGCATAGTAAATTAACGGTTTCTTCTCGAAAGCGAACATGCGTAAAACGTTTGGAGGCATCAAGATGGTTTGGCTTTTGAATAGGCTCTGGAAAGTTTTGAAACTACAAACTTGGTGGTTTCATTTAATTTACCATATTCGTCAATCCACGAAAGAAGCCGCATTATTGTTAATATTGCTGTGTACTTAAAGCCTGTCTACTCAAAGCAATAATCAATAATGTCGGTATTTCCGCAGAAATATTAATAATATTGCTGTGTGATATTCGTGTCGTATGATTTTGATAAATATCGAACACCTTTTATATCAGATGTCAGATAACATGTTTTCCCACGGATCACGTGATACATGACGTCACGACTTATGACTGACAGGACAAGTCAACAAAGTCGAGCAAAGTATGTTTGTGCAGGTTTGATTCATATCGAACAGATTCACGAGAAGTTATATCACATTTTCCCACGGGTCACGTGA